CCCCCCCCCCCCCCCCCCACGTTACCCTATTATATGTAGTGATTCAATGAAATTGGAAATGCGCGTACCGTAAACGTGTCAAGTAGCGAGCGCTACCACCCTAACAAATGCCATCACGTTCATTTAATCGTGAGTCCTCCATCTGGTTCTTATCAGGTGTGTGGATGGTCTTATGGTGCTTAGATGGGGGTGGCATGTCTAGTCTTTTTCTCTCGGCGCGTTTCGCAGTGTGCTGCTTGTTCCAAACAGTTGAGTCCCGCAGATTAATCCTACCGACGTCATTGGCAAACAATAGAGCAGCAACTGAATTACAAACTAGGCTAGTATGCTGGACGCACCCATGGACGAATCGGTCAACAGATGGAACCAACGGTGAGACGTGTCGTTGTTTTGTCATTCCTTTTTTGGCGCTTGATACGGTATTCAAAATGAAGCTACTCTGTACAGTTCTACTCTCTGGATCCTTCCCCGTTTCCATGAAGCAACGGAGTACGCTCACTCGCACCATTTGCCTGTACGAGCTTTGTTAGCACAACACACGTGAAGATAAGCGATGCTTGGCTACTTACTTGACCGGGAGCGCTGATGGCCTGCGCCTTCTGCTCCTTCCTGTCTCGGACCCAGAAGTAAATCCCCATACCAAGGAGGACGCCTTGTAAGCAGCCCGTCACGATGTACACTCCCCACGCACTCCAACCAGAAGCCCCAAGCCGCACTGCCAGGCTGGCAGCAAACACAAAGCTGCCAGGGGTCTGAATAAGCATCATCGGAATACTCAGACTGTACACGTGCTGCAATTTCCAAGTCGTGTATATCTGGGGGACATATTGTATGGACGCGAGACAGGTGGCCATGATGCCCAGGATATTAGCCCACAGTTGGAGGCTGTGCGGATAGCGGGCGAGAAGGACGACGGAGACGAGAAACACGGCAAAGAAATGGGCGATGGAAAGGCCGACGACCAAAAGCGCTTGCTGGAACGTGTAGCGAGAATGGTGTGCCTCGTCTTCCCCTTGCTGGGGAGCGGTGTCCTCACGCGGGAAGAAGACGAGAAAGAGGAGCATGCTACCAATGGTTAGCGGACCCCGTCCTTCCAACGCACTGTGGAAGACCGACATCAAGAAGAAACAACTCCATTGCACACCGACTTGGGCAATGCCCAGGAGGGCGGCACCACAGGCGAAGCCGTCGATCTCGTCGCAGCAGCCAATGTCCTCACGGCTCCGAGGTAGCACGAGAATGTTCGCGATGGCGCAGGTGCCCGACGTTGTTCCCAGGAGAACGAACCACGGCGACAGCCCTTCGGACGAGCGTCGGAGAACGATTTTGGCATGTTGCGGGAGATAGGAAACGAGGATGCCGACGAGGATGAAGCTTGGAGAGCCGTTAGCCATGGCCAGAAGCCGGGCGAGCGGGAGGCGGCGCGTACATGGAGATGGAGAAGTTGCCGATGTCAGGCTTGGCGAGGTCCTCGCAGCGCTCACTCAGGGCGTCCATGGCTGTGGTGGAGTTGGGAGAAGGATCAGCCGGGGTCCTCGAGGGATGGCATTGTAGGGAGAGGTTGTTGGCGGTCCAGGTGACTGCTATGTCCGAGCTCAAGCTGCCCCGGCCGCAGGTACGCGCGTGGCACCGCATGACTCGTGCAACACGTCATCAACTTAACCCTGACTCAAGCGCCGCGGGGGACTCTGCGAAACTCCGCGAACCGCGTCCGTCGCATTTTGAATTTGACAGCACCAGTGCTCGTCCAACTTCCAAGCCCACCATGGCCTCCAACGACTCATTTCAGATGGCCTCGAGCGGTTGGCACCTCTCAGCCAGTCAATACATCGTTCTGCGCTAACTTGACTAGATCTGCTCTCGCTGTGGCACACTTCGCGCGTCCCGGTCCTGTTGACCGTCTGCGCCGTGATAGCATTCGCTCGTCTCTTCCAGCACCTGCGCCAGCCCCGCCAAAAGCTTTCCGCCTCCCCCATTCCTGGCTCGCCGACCTCCAAGATAGATGAGATCGCCGCTCCATGGGCTAAAACCGAGAACATCCCATCCATCGCCGAGAAGGCCACGGTGCCTGTGGATGACGGCCATGTCGAGGAGATTACAATTGCGGAGCGGCCATTGGTGCGCCCAAAGGCGGGTCCAAAGAAGGTCACTGGAACCAAGCTCCCGCGTCAGGCAGCCAAGCGTACATGCAGTTTCGACGCAGCACGCGATCGCGTCCAGCCGTTGGTGTTCTTCTCCTCGCTTGGCGGGACCACTGAGGCTGCGGCGAAGAAGGTGGTGGAGGAAATAAACCAGTGGATATACGCTCTCGACTCCGAATCGATCCCGCGCCCTCTCAACCCGCAGGTCCTCGACCTTGCCGAACTCGACTACGATGATTATTTCATTTCCGCGCCCAAGGGCGACGAGAATGTCAAATATTTCTACCTGGTCCTCATACCCACGTACAACATCGACACCATGTTGGATAACTTCTTGGAGCATCTGCAAGAGACACACCACGATTTTCGCATCGACACGGCGCCACTCTCTGGGATCTTGGGATACGCAGTGTTTGGTTTTGGCGATCGGGAAGGCTGGTCTACTGAGGAGGAGGGATTCTGCTCGCAGGGGAAGGACGTGGACAAATGGCTAGCCAAACTTACTGCCAAAAAGAGGGCGTATCCTCTGGGCATCGGTGACGTCAAGAGCGACGCGCAGGAGCGCCTAAAGGAGTGGCGCCTGGGTGTGCAGGACATTCTCCTCGACGTCTGCGCGGGTAAGGGCCTTGGCGAGGGTGTAGCCGGAAGTGGAGATGCCATGGAGAGTGACGAGGAAGACGTTGATGACGACGAGCTTGATTCGGAGACCACCCAGCCTCTGAAGCCCAAGAAAACAAAAGCGAAATCCAGCCTAGACGACGTAGAGGACTTGGGCAAGATGGTCAAGAGCGAGATCGATCCTGATGAGCCTATGGAGGTCGACTTCACTACCTACAAAAAACCCGTCAAAGCTGCCGCTCCCGCGGCGCCGAAAGAAATGGTTCCCAAATCCTCACCCACATACTCCTCCCTGACCAAGCAGGGATACACGATCGTGGGATCTCACTCTGGAGTCAAAATTTGTCGCTGGACGAAATCGGCACTCCGCGGCCGTGGATCCTGCTACAAGTTCTCATTCTATGGCATTAGGTCACATCTCTGCATGGAGACAACGCCTTCATTGTCATGCAGCAACAAGTGCGTCTTCTGTTGGCGCCACGGCACCAACCCAGTGGGAACAACCTGGCGATGGGTTGTGGATCCGCCAGAGAAGATTTTTGAGGGAGTCAAGGAAGGTCATTACAAGAAGATCAAGATGATGCGTGGTGTTCCTGGCGTCCGCGCCGAACGGTTTGCAGAAGCCATGCGCATCAGACACTGCGCCCTCAGTCTAGTCGGCGAACCCATCTTTTATCCTCACATCAATGAGTTCATGGCGATGCTCCACAAAGAGCGCATCTCATCTTTCCTTGTCTGCAACGCTCAACACCCGGCACAACTGGCCACTCTCAAACAGGTAACACAGCTTTACGTGTCGATCGATGCGTCCAACAAGGAGTCTCTCCGCAAGGTCGACCGCCCCCTCAACCGCGACTTCTGGGAGCGCTTCTGCGCATGCTTGGACATTTTGCGCGAGAAGCGTTTCCAGCACCGAACGGTATTCCGGCTCACTCTCGTCAAGGGCTTCAACATGGCGGACGAGATAGTGGGGTACGCGGATCTGGTGGAGCGCGGTCTGCCTTGCTTCGTCGAGATCAAGGGCGTCACGTACTGCGGCACGGCGACATCGGCGGCGGCCGGGCTGACGATGCAGAACGTTCCGTTCTACGCCGAAGTGCAGGAGTTCGTCGAGGCTCTCAACAAGGAACTCAACGATCGCGGTCTGGAGTACGGCATCGCGGCCGAACACGCCCACAGCTGCTGCGTGTTGCTGGCAAGTACGCGGTTCAGGAAGCAGGTCGATGGCGAGTGGAAGTGGTGCACGCTCATCGACTACGACCGCTTCTTCCAGCTGCTCGAGAGCGGGGAGGACTTCAAACCCGAGGACTACATGGGCGAGCCGACGCCGGAATGGGCTTTGTGGGGCAACGGTGGATTCAATCCCGAAGACGAGCGGGTGTATCGGAAAGGCAAGAACAAGGACAAGGCTATCGAGGAGGCGCCGAAGCCGATGGTTGAAATCTGAGCTGGGTTCTACGGGTGTATGTTTTGCAGTGTCGCGTTGGGAGGGTTCTGTCTCTATCACAAAAGCACGCGTCTGCCGAGTCATTGGATTGCTGGACTCTGGTACCAAGGGTGGGAATATCGTTCTCCGTGTAAATCTAGTGAAAAACGCTTCAACTTCAGACTGCGGAAACTGTTCGAGCTTAGCGTGCTCAACAGGAGAGCAAGGATGACGGAGGCCCAAATGACCAGGTGGCCCGGACCGTCTGACAGTTGGTTATGCTACGTTGGAAGATGGTTCGGACAGACGGAACGCTGCCCGTTGTGTGACCGTGCGGGTCATCCTTCCAATGAGAGGCAGAGTCGACGCAGGGCTTGCGGAGGTTGCACAAGTTGGGACAGAGGCAAGCTGGTGGCGCAAGACCGGCCAAGTCTGATTTGAGGACGGTGTTTTGATGGAGGGTGGATAACGGCCATCACTACGTGCGATCTTGGGACATGAGATGATGGAAGTTGCCTGATCAGGAACAGTGCAGATTGGCAGCCGAACAACGCCGGCTGCGCTTTCCCCGCGCGCCCAGCGCGTGTCGGCGCGTCGCCCAAAGTCAACACCAGCCCAGCCCCGGCAGTCGATCCACCCTCCATGCGCCAGCCCCCCACCCGGCGATTCGATGTGTCGCTATGAGCTGCTGAACACCCTGATCGCCTTCCTCAACGACCGCTTCTTCAGCCCGCCGATCCACTTCGACTTCTAGTAAGGCACATTCCCTTGCGTGCCCGTGCTACCCGACTTGTCTCTCCGGCCATTCCCGCTAACACCACCCGCCCTGCGCAGTGAGCAGAACAACGAGCTCCCGCCCGCCCGACCATGCTCCACGAAATCCTCCTTTCTCTCTCGGGTCATCCATCCGCGCTCTTCGATGCCGAGAAACAGGATGCCAACGCCCACATAACCCCGGCCTCGTTCCCTCTGCTGTCGCCGCCCGAGGCCGAGCTGCTCTCCTCCGTCGCGCGCCTGGCCCGCCTGCACCGCGCCATCCGAAACCACGCCCAGCTCATCGCTTCCTCGCACCCCTCTACAATATGCCGCGCCGTCGCCACCGCCGTCATATCCTCACATCTGGCCGAGTTCCAGCAGAAAATCCTTGACGTCGAGGCGCGTATTCTGAAGCAAGACACGAACATGGTTGGCGCATACAACATCGTTCCCCTCGCGGGCATTGTCGCAGAATTCGACGAGTGGACGAGGCGCATGCAGTGGTACTGGGATATGGCCTGCTTCATGCTACCCAAAGAAGACGCGGAGAGGAGCAAGAGCGAGGACTCCGGAGCCTGCACGGGTGCTGGTATGATTGATAGGCTCCGGCAGGAAGCGCAGACGGGGTACCCTGATGTGGAAGCGGCTGCTTTGGATTTGAGTAAAGTTGCAGAGACGGCGTGGTTGCGACAACTCTCGACTTGGGTCCTCTATGGGAGATTGCCGACGCACGGGACGAACGACTTCTTTGTCATGCAGGTCGAAGGCGATGATGGATTTGTCGATTATGTCTCGACCAGCAGGCTTCTGCCGAAATTCGTTTCTTCTCGTACAGCGTCTTCCATTCTGTTCATCGGCAGATCGCTCGACCAGATCCGCAACAGAGGCGCGACAGGTGTCTCATTGATAGCCCCGAAGACTTCCGAGCTTGAGCTTCTACCTGTACACCTTCGCTACCTGTCCAGCTTGCAGGTACCCATCTCTACTGCTTCCCTTTCGGAAGCAATCTCCGCAATTCGAATCTCTTTGTCGAGGAATACTCTACAACAGCTTCTGCCGCTGCCCAAGATATTGCAGATCCTGTCGTTACTACAAGAATTCTTCCTGCTGGGACGCGGCGAATTCGCCGTTGCGCTCATCGAGGAATCAGACGAACGTATACGTTCACGACACCGGAGGCCTGGCCAAAGCAAACCTGGTCGAGGTGTTCAAACCATGCTGGTCAAAGAGGGGGAAATAACCGCTGTTCTCTCCCGCACTTGGGCTCGCCTGGCAGCCTTGATCAATGACGAAGAAATGAGCGACGAAAACTTGGACTTGGCACGCAACTTGGTGCATCTGTCCATGTCTAAACCTACTTCAACACGACCTTCGACCCCTGGCCGAGCCAGAGACGGCGCCGATGCTCTTCCAAAACTGTCTAATGTTGTCTTCAACGATCTTCTCCTTTCGATACCCACGTCGTTAAAGCTTGATGTCTCACCCCCTCTTGACCTATTTCTGGCGTCTCCGGAAGTCGACTGTTATTCTACTATCCATGCCTATCTCCTCGCTGTACGTCGTGCACATCTGAGACTTACAGACTTGTGGAGACAAAGCAGTATCAGAAAAGAACACCCCACTCCCATGGGTCCACCTCTCAGCAATTCCCCCTGGGGAGCAAGCGAGCTGAGGAAAAGGAGGCTGAGATCAAACGCTCGCACCGTAAGCATGCGCAAGGTGTGGGCGACGTGTGGCGCGGCCGTGTTCTTGCTGTCAGAGTTCGTTAGCTACTTCGAGGGCGAAGTGGTACAAGAGTCTTGGAAGCACTTTCGCCAGTGGATCGTAGGAGTGGATTCAGACAACGAACGACCATCTCCCCCATCGGATTCGGACAGCGAAGATGCACCCGAGCTGTCAAGACAGCCAACCCAGCACAGCTTGAAGCAAAGCCAGCAACTCAGTCGGCCTGCAACCTCAACATCCATGCGCGACTCTCGCCGCACGCCGCACGATCCAGAGGTGCTTTCGTCCGCACACCGCCTCTTTCTCCGCTCACTGTCATACTCGCTACTACTAACAGATATGCCATACACTCACGCCCTTCGCTCTTTCCTGACCCATGTCGACGAACTCATTGCCTTTGTCGACCGTCTGCGCACCATTCAAAGAAACCTCGACCTGGAGCGCGACGAGGGTGTGGTGGATGCTCTCGCCAACTACGAGCAAGAGGAGAAAGACGTTCTCCTGGAGCTCGACCGCGCTAGGAAACGGACCGACAGCGATCTGCGTAGCTTGGTCGCCAGGCTGCGGGAGTTGGACAAGGAGCGCGTTGGCACCGGTTTGTTCGGCAATGGAGAGTCGATCGGAGACTTTGAGCCGTGGAAGGGCGGTGGCGTGGATCGTTTGTTGATGAAGCTGGATTTTGGCGCGAGTGCGAACGAAGTGGATGATGATGATGATGAAGGGTTCGATTTAATCTAAAGACAGCGAAAACTGCGTATGTGTGGTGAGTTGGGTAGGGAGCGTTTTTGTTGGACATGGGGATGATGGGGAAGGGAGGTAGGTGTATTAATTGGCTAACGAGACATGACTTTGCATTGGCACAAAGGGCATCCTCACAACGAGGCATTGGCGTCATTGATAGATCTAAATTCGGTAATCATTTCTACAGCTCGCTCTCACCGCTGGACGTATCTCTCCAGAAACGTAGCACTGTCCTCTCGTTTGTTCTTCGCAACGAACAAGCCCCGCCTTCACGTCATCCAACCTCTCATTTAAAAAGTCCTCTTCAGACTCCGACCTTCAGCTAGAGGAGATGTAATCACTGCGATAATAAAAATCTCCCGTAAAGCACAACATCGACGACGGTAGCCAAAAGAGTGAAATCGCCACAACCTCCTTCACCTTGTAAGGTTTCAAGAGCCACCACCCTCTATGTTCCACCGCTGGTACAACCCCTTCGGCGGGTGCCCTCCATCCCCCCCTCCTCCTCCTCACCGTCACCACACCAACTCCAACTCCGATGACGGCACCAAATCGGATTACTCCTCCGACTCCGACTCCGACTACTCGTCCGACTTCGACTACCATGAACCTGACTGCTACTACTACTACGAACCCGATTCCTCCCCCTTCCCTCGCCCTCGTCGTCGTGCTTTCCCTCCTTCACCCATGTTCCACGGTGGTCATAACCCTGTTTATCATCATCATCGCCTCCCTCGCTACTTCCCACCGCCCTTCGACCACCACCACCTCCTCCTCCACCACCATGGCGTCGGCGGCTTCGGCGACAACCAGCACGCCGCCCTCCCCGCTCTTCATCACCCTCTTCATCCTACTCATCCTGCCTCTCCGAGCTTCCCCCACCCCAACCATCCACCACCCTCTCAACAACAACAACACCAACAAAACCGCCACATCCCCTTCCCCTTCCCCCTCCCCCTTGCACTTCCACTTCCACGTCCTCCCAACTACTACCGTCTCCCCCCTCCGCCTCCGCCTCCGCCTCCGCCTCCGCCTCCACCTCCACCAGCCGCACGCATGCAACGCATAACCAACACCGACAACGGCCAGGGATGGTGCGAGCGCGTGTGGATGGCGGCGGATCCGCGGATGGCGGCGGCGGGGATGGCACCGAGGATGGAGCCGAGGATGGCGCCGAGGAGGGGGTGGTGGTGGTGGGAGAGGGATGGGGATGGAAATGGGTGTGGAGATGGAGATTGGGCGAGGTTGAGGGGTGGTGGTGGTGGTGAGGAGGGGAAGGGGGAGGGGAAGGGGGAGGGGGAGGGCAGGGAAAAGACGAAGAGGGGGAGGAGGAGGGGAGGGAGGAAGAGGAGGTCGAGCGAGTCGACTAAGGAGGGGATTACGGTGACGAATTTCGAGGAGGTTGGGGAGGAAGGCGGGGAGGGGGAGAAGGAGGCTGAGTACAAGGACGCGACTGCTTGGGAGGAGTGGGCGCATGGAGGGATGAGGAAGGGGGAAGGGAAGTCCAGAGGAACGGGGAAAGGAGGTAAGGGTCGCTCGAGTTGGTAGTTAGACTAGAGAAACTGCGCGCCATATGTGGTCCGTCTCTACTCTCCGATCTGGATGTTATGGTGTAACCTGCCCATGTACTCTTCGGAGGGTACTGATTTGATGTGCGAGGAGCATGAGGACGGTGGGCATTACTTCCAAGTGCACTCGGATGGTATGGAAGGTGGGTCTTTGTTATGCGTCAGCCTTCCACAATGGTTTTCAGAAGTGGAAAGTGCGGAGGAAGTAAGCAACGTCCACCTCAAACATGACTGCGACGCTCAATCACTACATGTCTACCATTCACACCGCATCTCACTCTGCAAGTTCCATTCACAGAACTCACATCACTGCTACGCACTGGTTCCGCTCACTCCGATCAAACCACATGCTCTACAGCAGTATTACCCGTCTGGTCAACACGAGCTTGACCTTTCGACATACAGGGCTAGGGTACAGACGTGGGAAACCAATCCCAGCCCGACTCTCGGCATCACTTGGTCTCTCGGGGGAAAGAAGCACCAACTACGAACACGTTCTAAAAACCGGCCCGGCCACATCGCTCCAACATCCTTTCGAGTCATCTTCTACGGCACTGATCTCCCTGTTCCAACAAATACTTCCCGGCCCCCGCACCATTCACGATGGAATTCTTGAGAAACTTTTACCAGAAGATGTGTCTGCTCATAGAAAGATGCTGCGGACCTTTTTGTTTTGGCGAGCGGTTCACTCACGAGGAGACGGAGAGCCTATTAAGCCATGCTCGCAATGCCAGTATTACCGGCGACGTATTAAGCCATACTCGCAATGCCAGTGTCACCGGCGACGTCTACCATCACGGCGACCTCGTCATCCAAGGGGACCTCGACATTGGCGGCAGCCTGTATTTGACGGGCGACCTGAACCTAGACAAGACGAGTAGATACACCACCAGTGCCAAGCGGAAAGATACTCCCGCCGGAGCATCAAGGATCATTTTGCCCGAAGACTTGCAGCCGCTTGAGCCTGGGCGTTCGTTTGTGTCTAAGCTGTCTGGTATCACTATCCAGATCAATCCTTGAATCGAGATGCAGGAGCTTATCGAGGTTTTTTCATTGCGCGTGTGGGGACAGTGGTATAGCCCCATATCATTCTCTAATTCTGTTCTGTCGAAGATAGGTGGAGCGAAAAGTGTCGAGTGGATCGTGCATCACTCCATTCCCACAAATTCCGTTGGAAAAGATTGTTGCAATAGCGTTCTTGTTGTTTGGGTCAACCTGCTGAAGATTATACTTGGTGTTCAGGGAGTGTCCTGGGAGGGTGACCATGGGAAGGGCAGCGTTTCTGAGGCTCCCGGCTGGAACTATCAGTACACATCAGGGTTGATAGAATATTTCATTTGTATTCATGGACTCAAAGTTACTCTCTTGTGGTAGTGACTGGTCTACAATAGCGAAGCCTTCGCTGCAACTTGGTCGACGACAGTTTGAATCTCGGTGCCCTGGAAGAACCGGCACGCGACAAGCAGAAGGCCGTTGGATTGAAGTTGAAACGGTATCCATGACATGCCTACCTGCCGATCACGAACACTACAACGAACGACGCTTCTCCGGCGTCGTAGATGGCGGCATCAAGCTACTGGTTTTGAACCAAAATGAACTCTACCGCTTCCACGAATAGAATCTTTTGAAATTAGAACACAAAATATCCCAGACCCGGCCCGCTCAACCGTCATCGTCAGCATCCATCTCCTCCCATATTCTCTTCACGAAGTCGATCATCGTGTACATCCGATATGGCGGGGTGTGCGCATCTAGCGCACTCAACCGGCCAGTGACGAACCTCCTTGCCCGTAGCATTTCCATGTCTATGCTAGATAGTGTGGGCGTGGAGCCGGGGTGCTTGGAAAGCCTCAGCTCGCTTGCCAAGGTGGTTAACAGGAAAGGCTGCGCGAGCCGCACGCCGGAATCGAGTGGAATGCGCTCCAAGATACTCAGCGCACGCTTGACCAGATGTCGTATTGTCCCGTTGGCGTCAACTTCGGACGCAGCAGTTGTGGAGATGCCAAAGGTTTGCAGTGGGGAAGAGGAGGTTGAGGGTGGGCTGGAAGTCCTCACGCTATAGTCGGAGCGGCAAAGGAGGTGAGGGAAGCCGCGGTATAGACGAATCAGGCCACATAAGCGGTACACTTCCCCGACCTGTATCAGATGCGATGTGGGCGTACGCTCGTCATGGGAATTAAGAATCAGCTCTTCATCTGGAAGCCGCAAGCGCAGAAGCTCGCACTCCAGTTGCGCTGCTTCTTGTAAGTGTTCCTGCAGCTTGATTACGTTGGGCCCCGGCGCAAAACGGTTTCCCGAAGACTTTAGCAAATTGGAAACACGACCGAGAAGGCGGATGGGAGCTTCGGAAACGCCTGTCCACGGATGAGGTGTGGTCCAAGTAACGATAGATGGTGCATGTTGCAAAGGGGCTGGTAGCGTGTCCAGGAGCTCATCCGCAAGGCTGAGGGAGTTTGACAGCCGCCAGTATGCCAGGGCATTGCGGAAAAAGTAGTGCTCCTCGGCGGAGATGTTTATACGTGTAGAAGGAGTCCGTAAGAGGTCGAGAGATTGTCTCCAAAACTTCTCGCCGTGATCGTTTGGATCATGCCATTCGGCCGAGAAGCCGAGCATGGCCAGGGTGAAGACTGTGGTGAAATTTGGCTCCCCGCTCTCGATGATTTCCTGGACTCTTGCATCGGCTTCCTGGCGTAGCTGGTTCGCCAAGGATTTGTGCGTATGAGAGTTCTGGGCCAAGCATGCAGCAGCCATGCTCTGAGCTGCGGATTCCAATGCCGGGCTGGTCTCCAGGAGGCTCGCGACGCTGTTCCGAAACGGGTTCAACGGACCATCGAAACAAGAGAGTGTGCCGGCGACTTCTTCGAGATAGAAGTCAATCAAAGCCTTTCGGGTAACATCTGAGACGGGCGGTGGGTTCTCTTCGGCGCAGTGCTTGGTGGGTGTCGGAGTGGAGCAGCTCTCGGGCGAAATGGGGGAAAGTGGTAGGTCCACAGCTTCGACGTTGTCGAATGCCAACGGATCTAAGAAGTCAAAAGGCGCGAAGTCATTGTATGCCTGATCCCACAATGGTCCAAGGTCGCCATCGCGTGGGTATAGATTGAGGAAGGGAAGATGGTCGAAGTTTGACGTGTCGATGTTGCGGTCGGGATGCATGACTGAGTCTTTCCAGACCTGGCTTTCACAGGAATCTGATCGGACAGGCGAGGAGAGGGTGCGCATGAATCTGTAGCGAGCATCGCTGCGATGGGTGTCGAGCTGGTTGAGGGCAGGATGTTGGGGAGTGCGCACTGCTCTCCATTTGATTTTCTGGGTGTAGCCAGGGCACACCAGGTTGCTGTTGACACAGCGAGAACAGGCCGGTTTCCTCTCATCACACTTGCGCTGGACAGCGGTCAGCGGTCAGCGGCGCTCTACGCAGTGGGCTTGACGTTTTCCGCACCTTCTTTTCCTTGCAAGTCAGGCAACCGTTTCTGGACTTTCTGACGCTGCGCATTGTTAATCAGTAGAGCAAGCAGTCTATGGTTGTTGTCAGTGGCGTTCGCCGGAGCCATTTTATACTTATCAGCGCGGGTCTGAGGGATGCAGCATGAAGGTGACGCATCGCAGCGAATGGCGCAGCCGTCGACGAGGCCGGTGGCCAGAAACGTGGAGAAGGCGCAGAGGTCATGCCCTCATGGGTGGTTGCTTCCGTGCTTCTCATTTTGTTGCCCCAATGCGGCTTAGCCCGCGCCACTGGCATGGACCCCGTCGCCGCTATGACCCCACCGCTGTCCATCAACGACTCATCGCGCCTCAGTCCGCGACTTGTTCCACCCGGAAAAGATGATTATACCTCGCCCATTATGCCGCCATCCGACCGGCGCAAGCGGAACAAGCAGCCCACTCGCCCAAAGATACGAGGTAGCTTTGCTCTTCCCCGGCGCCTGACATACACTGCCTGACCCCAAGCCCACAGGATGCTACAATTGCTCGAGGCGCCGTGTGAGCTGCGACAGGGCAACTCCACAATGCCAGAAGTGCCTCAACAGCGGCTTGCAATGTTCTGGCCTCGGCCCGCGCATCCGCTTCGTGCACGCCGTCGCTGACCGCGGGAAGCTCAAGACCACTCCAACCGCCGAAGAACCCGGCATTCCAAGTGGTCCCCCCGCCCATCTTCGCTTCGAGAACAGGGAAGAATCTCGCCCTAGCCAAACAGAGCAGTCTGACCCCCCTGGCCCGGAACTCCAGCCCATGGCCCTCGCACCTTGGGTACCTCAGTTTACCATATGCTACCCCCTCGACCACATGAGTAGCACCGAGAGGTCTCTTCTTCACTATTGTAAGTCCACCAAGCTGCCCCTATCAGTATAGTTCCCGCTGATGCGTAGAGAAGACGCTGAAAAAGTGGCACCCGTCATGGTCACCATTAACAAGCCCTTCAATGGCTACCGCGACGTGATACTACCCATGACCGAGGCGAGCCCAATGATGCTCAACGCCGCCCTCGCTGCAGCCTCTCACCACCTCGCTGTCGTGCACCAGTCGAGCTACCGTCAATCCGCTACTCGCTACTACACGGCTGCCATCCGTGGACTGCGCCATCAGCACCAGCAGTCATTGATCCGAGGAGCCGACGAAGCAGCCCCCTCCCCAAGCCGCGATACCGCGCTTGAAACCATCGCCACCACCCTTCTGCTCCTCGTCTGCGACATGGTTGCTGCCGGTAGCGACTTCCAGTTCCTGTTCAGGATGCTCACCCGACTGGTCGAGATGGCCGGCGGCAGCGACGCCCTGTGCGCTGGTGGCGACCTAAACAACCTCTTCCTCGTACAACAAGTAAAGAAGTAAGGATTCCCTTGTATAAAACAAATATTCTGGAAAGCAATGGGGAAGGGAGAGGGGCTGACGACCATACAACTGACAACCAGGTTATCTTTCTATGGCCAACCCTTTCTCCGCGAGGCTACCTCGACCTCTCTCGTTGTCACCGGCTTTGCTGGCGCCGTCGAGGCTTTCGTCGCCCAGAGTCGCGTCAATCCGGAGCACGGAACCATCTTTGCTCGGCTGATCGCCCTCATCGAACAGGCCCGTGACATATATATCCATCGAGCCATTGGCGATCTACCTGCTCAAGCAATGCACGCCCTGGTCGAACACTTCCTCGCCACTGCCGGCGACATACCCGTCGCCTCGCCTGGTGGACACAGCCTTGTGTGGGCCTACTTCATCGTCGCCGCCGAGAGCTCCGACCCGCGACATCGGCACTTCTTTGTGGAAAAGCTGAGGGAGTTGTTCAGGGAGACAGGCTTCGCGAACGCACTAGGCGCCGTCCAGGAGCTGCAGAGGATTTGGTCGATTGCGGGCGAGGAGCGGTGGACGTACATGTTGCCGACACTGGCACGAACCTTGGTCATGTAAGTTTGCACTGGGTAACACGTACGCCATTTACAAGTATATTTTACAAAGCCTTCATCTCCATAGACTCGTCTATCTTATTGTATACCCTCTGTTACTATCCTCCACTCTGCAACCCACATCGAAACACTTTATTGGATGAAGAATTATGAAAATCTCGACCGAGGGCCTGACCTTTCTGACCCGCAAGAAAGCTTCATGAAGCAACACCTTTGCAAGCAGAAAAGCCAACGAGCAAACGGCACCGGAATTCGCATACCGTTTCTTAGTGTCACCCTATCGAATTTCTGCCTCAATCGGGCTTTTTTTTTTTTGGCCTGCTCAACTGTTGCTCCAAAAAGGTGAGTGTAGAAACTCTGAATCCTCAAGACCCGCCCCCTCCCCCTTCATCCCTTTCCACATGATTTCAAGACTCCTCGTCCTTCACCACCCACCCCCAAACTCCTCAACCTGGTCGTCCAGATCGTCCACCCCGTCGTCCAGGTTCTCCACCTGACAGAACGGCGCCGCCCGCACGTGACGATGACTGAAGGGCAGCACCTCGCCTCTACGATCATCCAGCTCGACGACGGGACACGCCGTACTGTAATCGTCGTCCACCTCCCGAATGGCAGCCTCGATGGCGGCAGCAGCAGCAGCAGCATTCCCCCCGCCGCCGCCGCCGCCGTCGTCGTCGTCGTCGTCGGTACCGCGCATGCTCCGCCTCTTCTCCTTGTCGAGCTGGTTGACGGACCGCACGCCCTCAAATGGCGCCGCCGGCGGGCCGCTGGATCCCGGAAGTTGCGTCCCGTCGTGGACGTCGTAGTACGGATGCCCGGCCTTGGCGTACGTCTCGGCCGTGATGGGGGGCGTCGTCGTTGCGTGTGGCCCGGCGATGCGCCCGAAGACGGCGGAGTCGACAATGTGGACGTCGACGGCCGTGGTGCGGGACGTGTCCCACGACGTCATCTCATCATCGTCGTCGCGGATGACGGATTGCTTGATGAGGCCGCCGGGAGCGATGGACATTTTGCCTAGTAATTCTCCGTCGTCCTGCTGCTGCTGCTGCTGCGGCGGCGGCGGCGGCGGTCCTCCCGACAACGACGAAGAAGACGACGACGGCGACAACGACTGGGGCGCCGCCGCCGCCGCCGCCCGGCCCCCTCCGCGCAGGCTGAGCATGGCGTAGAGCGTGGCCTCCCGCGGGACGCCGTGGTCGCGCAGCGTCGCCTCGTCGACCATGTGCCTCCCCGCCCAGAGCAGGCGCTGCCGCTTGGCCGGCAGGCCGGGCTCCTCCTGCCCAATGCGGCACTTGAGCTCGTGCACCGTGGTGTCGGGGCGCGCCGTCAGCGCCAGCCGCCGGCCCGTGGGCAGCCGGACGAAGAGCGGCATGGTGGGCTGCATGGGCGGCGCGTGCAGTGCCGGAGCCGGAGCGGGTGGGGGGAGCGATGATGAAGTGCGTTGCGGCGTCACTTCGAGCCGGATGCTTGCTGCTGCTGCTGCTGCTGCTGCTGCTGCTGCTTCCGCTGCTGCTTCCCCGTTGGCTGGGCCGCCGGCTTCGACGGCGCCCCTGCTGGACGCGAGCTGCGCGGCGACCGAGTAGCCGCTGTTGATGGGCATGGCGACGAATTGGCGGACGGTGTTGGTGGTGGAGGAGGAGGCGATGCCGTCGAGCCAGCGCTGGTGCGGGGTGACGATGTAGTCTTGGATGCTGCTGCTGCTGCTGCTGCTGCTGCTGCTGCTGCTGTTGCTGTTGCTGGGCTGGCTGCGGCCTTGATTGTGGTTTGCCGGCGGTTGTTGGGACTGGGCGCTCGATTCGTCGGAGGAGGAGGAGGCGTCGTGCTGGCGCTCGCCGGAGATGGCGTTTATGCCTCCGACAAAGATCTTGACGGCGAAGGGGCGGTTGGAGCTGAATTCGATCCACATGGCCTCGCGTTCTAGTATGGGACGGCAGTGTTGGGTCAGCCGCACTGTTGTTCTCTTTTGTCTCACGCACGTATGGACATCTTTCTTTTGACCACTTACGGTGCATCGGGAAGAAGTACCCCTTCTCCGGCCGATCGCCAGAGGCGGGGAAAGCCTCGGGATGGTCGCTGACGCGGTACAGCGGAAACGGACCAAAGCCCGGCGGCAGGTTGGAGACCGTATCATCGTCGTCGTTGTCGCAAACCCGCACGGTCCGCATAAAGCTGATGCGCAGGAAGCCTTGGCCGTGGAAGCAGATGGCCGTCTGCGTGGAAGTATTAGCTGTGTCGGTGGGCGTGAGGTCGACGTCCAACGGCCAGCTGTGCGTGGTTTGATCTGGCGGCGTCGCCATGGTGAGATGGATCACTGGGTGGGTGCTGCTGCTGCGGCGGCGGTGAAGGCAGGAGCTGATTATCGAAACGCGTGGCGGGTTGACGCGTCGGACGGAAAGGTTGAGGAAGATTGAAGAGAGGTTGCGGTGGTGGGTTGTCACGTCAGAAGAGTGTGCTTTCTAGGTTGTTCTTATAAGCAGTTGGGGAAGGCAGGCGTGACTTGGAGGGCAAGCGCACATTTGGAAAGTGGAAGTCACCTACGTGAAGGGCTTGCAGACACAAAGAGGTTCGCTGGCGGTGGCCACGAAGCTGTAATGAACCAGCAACTACCTTGTTTCCAGGCCTGAACCGGTACTACCGGAACCTTCCAGAAACCTAGTGTCGTTACCTGGAGGTGTTGATAGAAAGAGCCGTGTAATATCTGTAGACTGTCGGTTCTTTTGCATCCGCATATCTTTGAGAGAAGGCGCAAAAAGAGAAGATGGGCGCAGAGGCAACAACCAAACAGCCTTTTAGTGAAGTGGGCTAAACTTACAATACTTGCTCATTAAGCATCTCTAAACTCAGCATGGCTTTCTTTCTTTTACAGACTTGCCGCAATCAGGTCGGAGACAGAGACAGTAGCTTAGGATTCCTGCTTTTTAAGATAAGGGACCCTCTGCCTACCCCATTCGGAGCAATAAAATGCACACTTTGGCGTTTACTAAAGCTTCCAAAAAGACCGACACTCGGCCCGGATCTGACCGCAACAATAGAAAGCATCATTAACCCATTTCAAGCACATACGGTCAACATCATGAATCCCGTATCGACCAACAAAAAAGTAAGCCAATCAAGATGACTCCACAATATATCTATCTAAATATAAATTACAATATTATTCGACTATATTAAAAAAAGAAAGGAAAGTACAAGTACAACATTGTACTATTTCCAGCATTGCCAGTTTGGTAATGGTCCCATATGTCTGACCAATACGTACCGTACACCCAGACTCTTCCCCCCCATACGGCTTAAGAGAGAGATTCCTTTAAAGATAAAAGAGAGAAAAGAAGAAAGAAGAAAGAAAAAAGCGGGGGTGTAGCTACTACGCACCATGAATGCTCACTCTCTCGGGATGTGGTCCGCAAAATCGCATTGCCGGCCGAGAGAGGCCGTGCGCTTCGCCGCCCCCTCTCTCTCTTCCCCCCATCCCCCTCCTCTTCTGCATTTTCGCCAAGCTCAACGGCGGTGATGCGATGTGCGATGGCCGAAAAGGTGATAGTAGTGGCTTATGCAGCTAGATTGTACATGGCAGCAAGATAGGGGTTCGCTTCGTGTTGGGCCCTGCATGTCGGCTCTCGAGATTGCGCGGGAGGAGATAGGTGTGTGTGTGCCAGCCAGGGTAGGGATGGAACTCATTTGTTCTTTTTCTCTTTAGGCAGGACGGAAGTAGGTTTCATGGGTGGGTATGGTGACCCGGTGTATCGGATTGCCACGGGTGGGCCTGATTGATACCTAGCGGTCGGTCAGCAAAGATGACACAGCTTGGCGGCCCAAGTAGTGTAGTATGCAAGTCTACTTGCGCAATGACGGAATCGCGATTGCGTGATTTGTCCGACTACCACTCCTATCTTCGCGTAGATTTTTGGACGGAACCATTGGTACTTCATCGAAGCCCCGGCTTTGTTTCTTCCACGATCGTCGGCAGTACGGGCTTGCTTTGGAACGTAGCAGAACTCCACCACCTCCATAACGAGAGCTTCTGCAAGAAGTCCAATTGTGAGACATTTTTCCCAAACCATCCACGTGCAGGCCATATTCCCAAACTCCGATGCTAAGGATCCAGCTACGCTTCCCATTTCAATAGGTCATGCATGATTCGTAACAAAAAAATCGGGTAGATCATCAAGACCCCACAGCACCCGCCGCCTTTCCCAAATCCCGCATCAACTGCACCAAGTTCTCCACCAAAGGCGGCAGCAAGCCCGTCGCCCCCGTTTCCTGCTGCTTCTGTCGTTGCTGCTCCGTCATCACCTCCTCACGCGAACTCTTTGTAGTAGCTGCGCCAAAGTTCTTCCGTAGCGTCTCCAAGACCACATTCATGGTCGCTTCCGGATCCGAGAGTGGAACGAGGCGTTGGTCTCCGGATGATGATGTTGCACCGATACCCCGCATACTGCTGTTGCTGATGACTGGCTGCCCGCGACCCAGTGTGACGAAGCGCTGGACGTCTGGCGTCTCGGGGCCTTCGAGCCAGACCGCACTGCCGGCGTCCGTCGTTGTGGCGCCGGTCATCGACGAGTTGCCGTTCCCAGCTGTTGGCTGTGAATGTGCACTGTGATCCGTTTCATGAGCGTAAAATTCATCCGACAGTCCACCTGGCATGGATACGCACGTGCAGGTCGCAGAGATCCCGCTGCTGACGGCAGTTGTCGCTTGCTCGATGATGCCGTACGTCCAGAGAGCTAGGGACGCATGATACACGGCGATGGCCCAGAAATTGCGGAGGTGTTTTCGCGGGAACGTCTTGGCCGCTCTGAGGACGCGCGCAGCCTGCCACACGGCAGTGCGCGCGTACGTGTCGTGCATCCACTGTTGGAGGGCGGGGAGGACGCGACGCGCGTCATCCTGGTCCTCCTTTCCCGCGAACAGCTGGACATCTTCGATCGAAAGGTGGAGGTAGAGTAGCTGAAGCTCGAGTAAGAGCGTAATTTCTGGAGATGGTGTTATACGCCAGGAGTTGACGCTGATGCGGAGGTGATGGATAGTTTGACAGAGCTCTTGGTGACGATGCTTCATCACCAATGAGCTGTTGTATTCTCCGGAATTCGATTTCAGCGTAAGCTGAAGCTGGTTGAACTCCCAGACCATCCCCCAAATGCCATGGAGCACGATCAGGGCGGCAAAATCGTGGTCAATCATGCCTGGGAACGACGCAACAAGCTTGGGGTCCTTCAAGCAATCCAGCAGGCATATAGAACTGGCTGGAGAGTCGGCTCTGTGGGCAAAGTATGCGGACTTCCATTGCTCGGCGGTCTCGGCTGTCCAGAGGTCTCTCGCCGCGGGAAAGGGGAGGCATAGTTCGCCATACGAAATGATGGGATTCACGAGAAGAGACATGGAGGATTGTGCGTCATAGCAAAAGCCACGGAAGACCAGCCGCCGGCTCGACTCCTGTTCGACCCACTGGAGCCACTTTTGATGGAGGGTGTTACCTGTATCTTCAGGCAGTGGGGCTATCGGTGGGCCCCTGGGTTTCTTGAACCGCCCCGCCCGCCGAAGCATCTGGTTGTTGTCAGCAATGGTACCGCAGATTTCGCAAGGGAGCTCACCGTCCACAAAGGTTGTTGCTGACTCTCGGCAATTTCCATCTTTCGTCTATTGCCAGACCAAAGAAACGTATCAATGATCAGCAAAAACGATTGTATTGCCCAGAGTTCCCTTGTGATGGCATTACGTCTCTCGATGGCGTCCACGATAGCGATACGCACAGCCTCCTGAATGGCGTGTCCAAGCTTCTGCAACGCTTTCATATCCGTAGAGACTGCTCCCGCGGCGACTATGGCACCAAGTAATTCAGGTTTGATGGTGTTTGGATTGAACGTGGGTATATGGATGAAGGAGTCAATCAGGGGTCCTTCTCGAGCAAAAAAGCACTGGAGGAAATCGTCGAGAAGATCGGCAGAAGGAAAGGACGAGACGACGCGGCCCAAATTGGTTGCATCGCAGGTATTAAGTATTATGGCCAGCAACTTGTCGCGAGAGCTTTGCTCAAGCCGCTCGCTCAATATGCGTTGATCGGGCTTGTATCGTGTGTCGGGCGAGGCAGCCTCTTCATGGGGAGTGGATATCTTGCCCACTTCGAGAAAAGCACCTTCGTGTGCAGGCTGCCAGCGGACAAAAGATGATCTGCGATATGCCTCTGCTCCAATCCCGGCTCGTCTGCGATCGGTTTGATGGCCGGAGTCCGAGGGAGTGGAAACTGCGGGAGCACTGAGGCTCGGAGGATGGATGGTGGGCGGGAAAACGCCAAAGTCCTCATGTGAGTTGAAAGGCTTTCCGTTGAAAGCATCCAGAAGGCCGAAGTCATTGGCATCGAACGAGAGGTCGTCTTCAACGTTGAAGTCGAGGATGTTGCGGGGTTCGAAATCCCAGTGAGTAGGGCTGAGTGAGCCTGGATTGTTTGGAGTGAGGACGTTGCGCAAGAAGTCGTAGAAGTTGTTTTCATGTACGGTTAGAGAGGAGGATAGAGCACCGGGGTCTGGGGCGATGGAAGGGGTGAAGGCGGTTCCGGAGAGGGAAGCATCGTCTCCACTGATCTCGAAGCCATTGAGCAGAGTACTTGGAGTTGGTATTTGGTTATTCACCTGATCAGGCTCGCCCATGACAGGGACAGGGGCGATTGAGACAGGTTGTGGTTGGTCTATGGGGTTAGTGGGAGATGGGGCTACAAAGAGATGAGTTGGCGACGCTGAAGTGTCAAGGCTGCTCTCACCTGGCGGCTGGGTTGATGCAGAGGCCGAGGTGGGAGGCTGGCGGTGGTCGGAATTGGATTCGCAGACGATGCCCTTGTTCTGGCAGCGCTTGCACGGCTTCTCATCCTCGCACTTGAGCTTGGCGTAGGCGCATGACTTGCAAGCCTGCGAGACCCTCGAGGACTGGGTCAGGGTGCGTTTCTGGCGTTTTGCGTTGCCGTCGGTGTCGTGACCGATGGCATGGCGCTTCAATAAATCACTGGTGCGGCGAGTCATATGCATGAGCTGACGACGGCGTAGAGGCGGCTAGTGAGGGAAGAGACAACGTACGGTCTGCCAAAGCCTTTGTGGCACACATGGCACTGGAAGGGCTTCTCTTGCAGGTCTGCGGGCGAGGTCAGCGACGGATGCGAGGGTTGCGAGGGTGGAGAGCAGGGGCACGCACGCGAGCGGACATGGCGAGCCAGGTGGTCGACGCGGGTATATGAGCGCTTGCACTCGGTGCATTGGAAAAGCCCGCGCGGCTTGTCGGACTCGGCCGACGGGTTGTCCATGGTGCTGTGCTAGGGAAGCGGTGCGAGGAGAGGCCGCGGCGGTGGGCGAATGGAGTGCATGGAGAAGACGGGGGCTCTGGCAAGCTTAAAGCAAAGCTGGGTGTCGCGGTGCAGGCGGTGCAGCTCCCCCGCAATGAGGCGCCTGGTCTTGTCGCCGCGTGGGCCAGGAGGCTAGGTAGCTAGGGCAGCCCGGGTGACGGCAGGTGCTGAGCAATGGCGCCTGCGCCTGCGCTGCGGCCGGCTGCGACAACCGGTCCGGGCTGCCCGGAGCGATCGACCCTGCCAGATGCCCCACGCTGCACAGCTCCTGCACAGCGCCCAAGGCCGCGCAACAAAAAACACCCTCCCGGAACGCATCGCGTCACGACGCGTCGCGACCAGCACCCCCCTGCGCTCTGCATCACGGAATCCATGCAAGCACACGCATTGCGCTCAGAGTCTATTCTTATTGCCTTGGAGCTTTGACGACCTTGCTACCTACTCGGACGGCTTGACCCCCGGAATGTCGCTGGCCTCGCCCAGCACCTGGTCGCCAACCTTGATGGGCTGCACCGGCAGCAGGATGTAAACCATGCGCCCCCACTGCGTGTCGCTCAGGTTCCGCCATGCGTGGTTCGTGCCGCGCTGGATGCTGATGTCGCCGCGCTTCATGACGCGCTTCTCGCCCGAGTCGAGCATCAGCTCGATCTCGCCCTCGAGCACGACGCCGTAGTCGAGGCTGACGGTGCGGTGCATGGGCGACGTCGCCCCGGGCGGCATGTCGACCATGCGCAGCACCGACCCGCCCGAGATGGTGATGCCCGGCAGATCCGTCAGGTAGCTCTGGTACGTCGCGATGTCCTTGTTGTCCGACATGTCGATCGGGTAGCCCTTGGTGGCGTAGCAGAGCGCGAAGTCGGCGTCCCCCGGCAGCCGCACCATGGGCGCTGCCTCGTCCACCTCGTCGTGGAAGATCTCTCGGCCCTCCTTGTCGTGGCCGGTGATGAAGCGTTTCGTCGCGCGGATGTTCTTGTCGGCCGACATGGTCAATGGGCGTTGGGGTCGAGCTTTCTTCTTTTCTGTTCTGAAGCGTAGGAGAGGCTGCGGGAAACCGATTTCTGCCGCCTTCCCTTGCCCGAGGGCTACGTCGGCTTTTATCTGACATGTCGAGCTCGTTCGGATGTTGGTCGAGGCACTGCCGACACGTTCCGATGTGGAGGAAACCAGGCCAGACCTGTCACTCGCCGCCGCTCACTATTCAATCCCACGAACACCCCGCCTTCCAAATGCGGATAGCGGGGCTACTTTGCCGCTACCTAGTTGCTACGGAATTGCAGACATGCTGCTAATTGACTCGGCGTCATTTCAACAACAACAACAACAGAAGACAAGCGCTCAAATTCAACCCTCACGAATCAATCTATTGCTACGAGCGAGCTACACCTTCTGGACCAGCTCGTCCACAGGCCTCGCGCTCGACACATCGGGCACGCCCTCCGACTCAACCACCTTCACCCCGACGACCTCGAACACGGGCACTTCGGCCAGCCTGGCGATGACGTGGTGCAGCGTGGGCAGCGCGTCCCAATCCAAGGCGTCGAACTTGACGCTCCCCGTCCGCCCCCGCCACACGCGCTTCACCGTCGTCGGCACCACCTTGGCCTCCTCGGCGTGCGGCACGAAGACGGCGTGCTCCGACGCCGCCTTGCCGCGCCGCCCGACCTCGGGCATGTAGCGGTACACCAGGATGCCGTCGTCGGCCTCGCCGCCGATGGTGCCCTTCTCCGCGGCCGGGTCCTGCTCCTCGAGCCCCTCGAGCGCCACCTCGCCGAACGTGGCGCCCTGCCAGCCCGTCTGCAGCCGGTAGCTGCGGGCGCGGCGGTGCACGTCGATGGTGCAGTAGAGCTTGGGCATGCCGAGCTCCTCGCGGCCGCTGACGATGGGGTCGGCCAGGCTCTCGAACAGGAGCGGCATGTACGTGCCCGACGCCGTGCCGCCGTCCAGCTTCGTGTACTCGACGCCGTGGATGTACAGGCCGAAGTGGCGGTACCCCCCGCCGCCCAGCCAGTCCATCTTGTTCAGCGTCGTCTGCGAGAAGCTGGCGTGGGCGACGGTGCCCGGCTTGGCGAAGCGGAACCGCGCGTTGGGGAACAGCCCCTGCAGCACCGTCGCCGACGTCTTGAACTTGATGGACGCCGTCGTCGCCGTGCTGTGCGTCGCCGTGCGCGGCCGCCCGAAGAAGTCCTGGCGCGGGCCCGGCATGGGCCCGAAGACGATGGGCTGCCGCCAGTAGAGGTTGGGGTTCTGCGCCCACTGCCACCGCCGGAACTTGTCCGACGCGCTGTCCCATTCGTCGTGGGTGAAGTTGTACGCCGAGTTGCCGCTCACTGATTGGCTGCGTGTCAACACAAGACGTGGGGCAAGATGATGGAGGGGCGGTCTTCTTCTTACTGTCAAGCGGCTCGTCCTGGATATCCCTCCCGGCTTGCTGCGAGAAGCGCTGGATCTTGGTGCAGCGCTCGTAGCGGAAGTCGAAGTACAGCTTGAGCCGCTGCGGGACGTCTTCCGGCTTGGTGCCCTCGGGCAAGACGACAGCCAGAGCCGCCGCATCCTCCATGGCTTGACCGGCGCCCTGGCCCTGGTCTGCGATCAAGCACGCATCGTCAGCTGCCGATGTTGTAAAGGCAAACACGAGGGAAATTGGATCGAGACTTACGCGGCAGATACGGGTGCGCGGCGTCGCCCAGCAGCGCGAGCTTCTCGTTCACCCACGTCGGCAGCGGCTCCATGTCGAGCAGCTCCCAGACCTTGAGTGTGTCCTCCTCGGCCTTGTCCAGCAGAGCGACGAGGTCCGAGTCGAACTTGGCGAACACCTCGAGCAGTTTGCTCTTCCTGCCCGTCTTGTTCCAGTCTGCGAGGTTATCTATCAGCAAAGTTCTTGCCATTTGGTTCTCTCTCTCCCTCTCTCTCTCTCCCTAAGAGGGGAAAAAAAAAGAAAGGCCAAGGCTACCCACCATCGGAGGACGCATCGCTCTCCTCCTTGGGATGGATGCACACGAAATTCAGCATCGTGTTGCTCACGCACGGGTAGATGACGACGCGGCGGTCCGAGCCGTAGAGGATGTGCATCTCGCCGTCTCTGGCGGCGAACTTGGCCGAGCGCGGGTCCGCCAGCGCCGCCTCGCGCGGCACCAGGAAGCGGAACGCGCTCTTGCTGGACGGCGACGCGCTGACATCGCCGCCGGGGACCTTGGGACGAGCTTTGGACTTGAAAAAAAAAGAAAGCCAGAATGTCAGCCTATTTTCTCTCTCTCTCTCTCTCTCTCTCTCTCTCTCTCTCTCTTTTTTTCTTTCTTCTGGGCATTGATTGAACTTACGTGGACGCCGTCAGCGCCGACGACCAGGTCGCCCCGCACCGTCTCGCCGCTCTCCAGCGTCACGGCGGCGGTCGCCGGGTCGACGTCGACGACCCGGCTCGACGTGCGCAGCTCGACGGGCACGCCCTTGCCCTCGGCGTCGGTGGCGCGCTTCTTGAGCGCTTCGTGCAGGTGCACGCGGTAGACCAGGAGCCATTTCTGTTTTGCCAAAAAAAGGTTAAGATGATTAAAACACACGGACGCGGAGCGAGATGGGGAGGGAAATGGGATACGTACATGCTGATAGATTGCCCCCATCTCGCCTATGGGCAGCGAGCGGATGACGTTGCCGTCGGCCTCGTACTCGGTCAGCAACTGCGCCTCGACGGCGCCGAAGTCGCGCTCGGCGTCGATGCCGATGCGCTTGAGCACGCCGTTGCTGTTGGGCGCCAGGTGCACCGCCGCGCCCAGCTCGCACGCGAAGCGGGATTGCTCCAGGACCTGGTTGTTTTTTTTTTCAATCTCGGCAATACGTGGTGATGATGATGATGATGATGATGATGATGACGATGATGATGATGATGATGTTTTATGTTTTTTTATACCTTTTTTTTGGGAGGGGAGAGGCGAAACTTACGGTCACTTTATGTCCTTGTTGCCGCAGGTAGATGGCGGCAGTCAGGCCACCGAGACCGGCGCCGACGATGATGATGTTCAGCGGAGCGGAGTCGGTGTCTACATTGTGGTGGTGGTGGGCGCCGTTGGTGCTACCGTTGGCGTTATGTTGGCCGTTGCCATTCGCGATGGCCATTATTGCAAGTTTATTTTTTTTCCCTTGCTTTTGAACCAACTGCTTGGGATGAGATTGGAGCAAGTAGGACTGGATGGGAGCAAGTTTCTGAACAGGTCCGCCGCCTGTGGGGCAGGTTGGGAGCTGTATGTAGGTGAGGACGACGGTTGCTAGCTGCGGCAGCTTAGTGTGCAGATTTGACAACTTCCAAGAGCGATGTTTCCCGTTAGACAAGGGGGAGGAAAAGTGGAATTGGGAACACAGAGCTCGAGCAACAGACGCAGACGCAGAAGCAGAAGCAGAAGCATCCGCAAGACGCGCGGGGGGGCACTTTAGGTGCAACTTGCACATGTGCCCCATCCTTCCCTCCACATCGCGGGGCCGCCACAAACACACCACGTCTGGTTCCGCGCCGCTCGTCCCGCCCACACAAATCGCGAAAAGCGTCGGCGTTAGGCCAGCCCTTTACCTTAGCACCGAGGCGTTCTCTGCCGGGCGCTTCGGACCACATGCTCGCACATTCTGGAAAACAACAATAAATCGCACGCTCCATTTTCAAAAGAAAAGAAGAAGAAAAAAAGGCAGAATTTGATCGGGAGTCCAATCTGCGCGCACTGTCTCTGCGCTACCACCATATTCATCTCAAGGGTTTGGGCCGGCCGCCATCCATTTGGACGGTGCCAACGACATTTTTAGTGATCTATACCTACCACATATCGCAAGCAACAGCAGCTTTTCGCTTCGCTCCGACCATCTATCTATCCAGAAGCAAACACAGCCAGTCTCCTGCACCGTGACCAAAAAAAACGCAAAACCTCCCCGCCCGCCGCCGCCGCACAATAATAGTGATGGTAGTAACGCGCTGTGGGCAGCTGCCGCAACTGCTTAGTAGCCCCGTCTTCGTCGGATCTCGACGTCGTACTCGCCGCGCGCGTTGCACATGAATCGTGGCTGATTCTTTTTGCCCTCCTCCCCTCCCCCCATCGTTCCGAGCATTTTTTGGCTTCTGGGCGTCAGGCGGGTGCGAGAGATTCCGCGTCTCGGGACCACATGGAGAGGGGGGGAAGAGGGGGAGGGGGGCGCTAGGGGGCCGGATGTGATGTGGAGGACCCGAACCGCGGGGGTCGAGGCTACCTAGGTACTAGCTCGAGTCATTGCGTGTGGGGGGAAATCATATTAAGGTAGCATCGGTTTGCGGAGAGAAAGGAGACCAATAAGGTTGTGGCGTATTTTGGACGGGACAGGGGTGTTGCAGCTCCTGCCAGGCCAGCGAGGTACGACATGATTCGGGAGTTGTGGGCGGCAGCGGGACCAGCAGCTAGTGCCAGTGGGATCCCGGGCTATCCGAACTGGGAAGGTCTGTTTCCGTTTCCCTTTGTTTGCGCTCCTGCGATTTTTTTTTGATGATTTGTTTCTTTTTTTTTTTTGGACATCTGCGGTCATGATGAGGCGAAGAAGACTCTTAGGCAAGCCATTGCGGAAGCGACCCAATGGATAGAGTATTGCGAGGAAGAAAAATAAGCACTGTTTTGGTGACTTTCTCCCAGTAACGTAGACGAATTTTCGGAGCCACCGCCAGCCCTTTCTCGTCCGACCGTTTCCGCTCCTTTCCGGTCAGAAGAAAGAGTACATGGTGGGGGGGAAAAGAAAAGAAAAGCAGACAATCAGGAGACATCAGCACCACCTATAGTCCACTCGTACGATCAAAGCCAAAGGATGCTCAACCCATCAGCCGTCAACTCATAAAGTCGAAAATGCCTGCCTCACAACCCGCATGGATCCATCCATCCACCCATCCGTCCATCCATCCAACAATTATAGCATCCCCCTCTCCCCCCTCCCAAGACTCCCTCTGGCCCTCGTCTCTCCAGCCCCACCCCCCACATCCGCCCACAGCAGTACACACTTCCCACCCTCTCACTCACTCCCCAACCTCACGATCCTGATCCCAGTGCGCCAGCCGCCGCACGAACCCCCACTGCCAGGTGGCGTGCCTGATGCGCTTGCCGAAGACGTAAAACGGCACCCAGCCGATGAGCACGGCGCCGGCGATGCCGGCCATGGCGCCGAAGGCGCGCTCGTAGCCCGCCTCGGCGATCCACGGGTTGGTGTAGAAGGAGAGGAGGAAGCCGAAGGCGGCTGATCAAGACAGAAAAAGTCAGTGATTGGGGAATGAGGGATGGGGGATGAGAGGGGGAGGAAGGGGGGAAGGGGTGGAGATGACGCACATTTGAAGGCTAGCTGCGTGACGGTGACTTCGCCGGCGACGGGGCGGTAGGCGTCGATGGTGTAGACGAGGGTGACGTTTGTGGCTTGCACGATGGAGAAGTTGACTGTGTGTGTAGAAAGAAGCTGGTCAGTACTCGGCCAGGTCTTGATGTCTTGTATAAGACATATAGCAAAGGGTAGATAAAACTCACGCAGGCCCAAGCCGATGGTGGCGCACATCCAGTGCAAGCGCTGGCCGATGCCCTCGCCGTACAGCACCAGGGCCAGCGGGCCGGTGACGACGCTGATCATGATGGCGGGCAGGCGGAACTCGGGCTCGCGCACGCCGGCGTTGCGGCGGGTGAGGGCGTCGGCGACCCAGTCGGAGAAGTGGCCGCCGAAGAAGATGCCGGCGAGGGAGCCGAGGATGCTGGCGATGAAGCAGAGGCCGGCCTGGTAGGGGGCGAAGCCGTAGGCGGTGCTGAAGGCGGACGCGAAGTTGGACGTGATGGCGACCAGGAAGCCGATGGTCACGGCCATGCACAGCGTCGCCCACAGGATCGGCGGCAGCGCCAGCATCACCACCGGCCGCCAGAAGAGCTTGCCCAGCGACTCCTGCGTGTGCACCCCGCTGAAGATGCGCAGGCTCTGCACGAACGAGCGCTTGGGCGGCGGCGGCGGGTGCGCGTGTGCGTGCGGCTGTGCGTGGCTGCTGCTGCGCGCCGGACTGTCGGCCGACGTCGACTCGACGCGCTGCGCCTCGACCGAGAAGTCGGACCCCTTGCGGCACTCGAGGTCGCGGATCGAGTCCGAGTCGGAGACGACGGCGGCGGCCCGGTCGAACTCGGTCTCGGGGAAGGTGAAGATGATGAGGACGGTTGCGCTGCCGATGAGGGCCACGGCGATCCAGTAGCCGTAGCGCCAGTCGAGGCTGATGCTGACGAGGCCGCAGATCAGGATGCCTCCGCCCACGCCGGCGCCGAGGAAGCAGGTGTACATGCTGGGGGGCGAGCGTGTCAGTGCTGCCCGCGCGTCGTGGCGGCGCATTGAGGGTGGAGGACTTACGCCATGATGGAGCCGCGCTCGTGCAGGAAGAAGATGTCGGAAATGGTCAGCGGGGCCAGCGTCTCTGATGCCCCCGACGCGGCGCCCATCAGGATGCGTGCGGCCAGCTCGCTGCCGTAGCTGGTCGCGCCGCCCGCCCACGCCGCGCATGCCGTGTAGAGGACGAACGAAGTCACGTAGATGGGACGCCGGCCGTACTTGACGATCAGCGGCATCCACATCAGGTTGCTCATGCCCTGGAGCAGCGCCGTGCTGGTGAAGAAGTATGACGCTTTGGCGACGTTGGCCTCGAAGCTGGGGCCGGGCGGCCCAAAGAAGTCTTCGGTGACGGCAACCATGGACACGGTCGGGCCCGCCGCCAGGAAGTTGGTGAAGAAGATGGCAAGCGAGAGGAGGATGGCGAGATAGTATCTGTACGGTCGTGGCCTGCGCACGCATCAGACACGGCCACAGTGACTTTTATTGCAGCGCAGAGGCTTACCAGTTGAGCGGGTCATTGGGGCTGCCATGTTGTCAGTTGATTCAAATCGTCGAGCTGCCAATTCACTTACTCGTCCGATGGAGTCGGGATGAGGATGATCTCGTTCGTCTCATGATGGCGAAGGCGCAGACTGCCAAGTGTCTGCTGCGCCTTCCTCACGCCGTCTGCCGTCTCGATGGTCTTGACCGCCATGGTGGGCAGAGCTGGATTGCTGTCTAGAAGTGAGGTGGCGATGGGAAACGTTCAAGTAGTGCCCGTGCAGGCAATAGCCATGGCTGCATCAAGACGCGAAACTGTTGTGGTGTCATTGGACGCTCAATCCCTGCGCGGCATATCTCCAGGCCCATCCTTGGGGCACCGCGGCATCGTCCGGGTGTGCATCGGGCCCACCTTGAAATTAGGAGGGAAACGGAGGCCCACGCGTCCAGTCTAGCCCTCCGCTCTCATCAAGCCACAATGCGGGGCCCCGGACCCCGTGAGATCCTCCCGTCTGACTGCTTGAACCTGTCGAGCCCTCGGGCACCCAGTGCCCAGCAGCGAATGGGGAGTTGCCGGTCGTGGGGGCCGAGCATGTCTTGCCGCTGATCCTTGTGGTGCCGCATTCCTGCTGAGGACGTGGTCCCGAGACTTCAACCCTGCAGCCTTAGTGGTTTCGCTTGCATTCCATCCGAGGTGCCGGCAACTAAAAGCACGGCTGGCGCTTTGGCTCATGTAGGCAACTCGAAAAAGGTACCCAGGATTCCCAATTCAATTGCTCCGTCGAAGTGATGGCAATGGCGGCTCTCCAAGTCACGTGGAAAGACAGCAGCGACACTCAGGCCTACGAAAAGGCCCGCATTGGTCGTGTTTTCAACCATCGCAGGCCTGAAAGATACCCCATTGCCGTGATTGAAGCCACTGAGGAGTCGCACATCGTCCAGGCGGTTCGCCTCGCCAAGGAGAGGAAATGCAGGCTCTCAGTTCGGTCGGGTGGCCATTCGTGGGCGGCGTGGAGCGTCAGGGATGACGCCATCCTGCTCGATCTCGGCCAGTACAAGCAGATCGACCTGGACGAGACGACAGGGATCGTCAAGGTCTCTCCGAGTACCACCGGCCGTATGATCAATGGCTTCCTCACCACCAAAGGTCTCCTCTTTGCTGGAGGCCATTGCCCCGACGTCGGCCTTGGCGGATTCTTACTCCAGGGTGGAATGGGGTGGAATTGCAAGGTCAGTCGTCGCATCCTGCACGGTGAATGCAATGCTGATCCAAACCAGAACTGGGGCTGGGCGTGCGAGCAGGTCGTCGGAATCGACGTCGTGACAGCCGACGGCCAGCAGCTCCACTGCACTGAGCAGGAGAACAGCGAGTTGCTCTGGGCGGCTCGTGGTGCAGGTCCCGGCTTCCCGGCCGTCGTGACCAGGTTCTACCTCCAGACGCGGCCTGCATACAGCTGCATGCGATCGTCGGCGTACATGTACGCAAACGCCGATTTCAAGAAGGCAATGAACTGGATTCTCAGCGTGAGTCAAGCACCTCGACGGCTCGTTTCTCCGGGCAGATGCTCACTGCACCACAGATCACTGACACGTACGACCCCGATACTGAGATCGTCCTCGTCGCAAGCTACCCGCCCGACTCGGAGGAAATCGTGCACATGGTCCTCTTGCTCGCCTTCAAGAACGACGCCGAAGAGGCCAAAAGGGCGCTGCAGCCGGCCCAAGACAGCCACCCGCCGGGCACGGTCAACGAATGGTTCAACCGAGAGACCAGCCTAGCAGACCAGTACAAAGACCAAGGTGCAGCCAATCCCGAAGGCCACCGGTACCGCGTGGACAATGCCTACCTCTCCAACGACGCCGACGTGGCTTCGGTCCTGGAAGAGGCCTTCACCACGCTGCCGACGAAGAAGACGTTCTCGCTGTGGTACTCGATGGCGCCGGGCACGCGGCGGCCGCTGAAGGACATGGCGCTGAGCATGCAGACGGACCACTACTTCGCCACCTACTCCATCTACGAGGACGCCGACGACGACGACAGGGCCAGCCGTTGGGTGGAGAAGGTCATGGCAGGGGTGGAGAAGCACGCCGAAGGCGCATATCTGGGCGACTCGGACTTCCAGGTGCGCCGGACGAGGTTCTGGGGCAACGAGCAGGGCGCCAGGCTGATGCAGCTGCGCAGGAAGTGGGACCCCGAAGGCAGGATATGCGGCTACCTCGACCAAGGGGACAGGTCGAGGCAGAACGGGCTGGAAAACGTGCACGAGTGGTCTCCCAAGCTCTAGACGTCGTCGTGTGTCTCTTCGCAGTAAATGACTTGAAACCCGTCCTTTGGAATCCCACTCGATGAACTGTGAAGTGATTGATCGGGTCCCACCTTTGCCGTACGAGGAGCACACAAGGGCAGGGGTCCTTCGGCAGGCACTCGGCTACCAGGCGAACAGCGGGTGCGGGGTCGGAACACAGCCGGGGCGGATGCACCCGCGGCCTGATCATCCCCCAGACACCGAGAGGGGGCAGTGGTGCGGGCCGCGGCCCACTACCTATCCGGCCGACATACGCGTCATCTCCGGCACGCCCATGCATGCTTCGCAAGTGAGTGGAGGTTTCTATCAGTGACGAGCACCCATCGACTGCAGCGCGGCATTAATCCAGACCCAGTGACACTCAAGACATTCGAATCAAACAGGAAGCTGCAAGAAGAGAGAAGAGGGACCACCCAGAAGAAGAAGAAAAAGAAAAAAAAGAGCATCAAAAGACTTACCCCATCCGGACCTCATCCACACCACCACCCACAATGGTCGAACAAACCCTCGCCGGCAAAGTCGCCATCATCTCCGGCTCCAGCTCGGGCATCGGCGCCGCCATCGCGCGCGAGCTCTCCTCGCGCGGCGCATCCGTCGTCATCAACTACCCCTTCGCCTCGCTCGCCGCCGAAGCCCAAGCCGTCGTGGCCAGCCTGGACGCCGCCGCCGCCGCCGCCGCCGCCATCGCCGTCGAAGCCGACATGTCGACGACGACGGGCCCGGCCGCGCTGGTCGACGCCGCCGTCGCGCGCTTCGGGCGGCTGGACGTCGTCGTCAACAACGCGGCCGTGGCCGTCAACCTGCCGCTCGAGCAGCAGACCCTGGACCACTGGGACGCGCTGGTCAACCTCAACGCGCGGGGGACCTTTTTGCTGACCCAGGCCGCGCTGAAGCACCTGTCCACATCCACCACATCCACCACCAGCGACACCCCCACGCCCACGCCCAGCCCCCGCATCGTCAACATCGCCTCCGTCTCCGCGCGGGCCGCGCCGCCGCTGCAGACCATCTACGCCGGCACCAAAGGCATGGTCGACGCCATGACGCGGTGCTGGGCCAAGGAGCTGCCGCCGCGCTACCCGGGCCTGACCGTCAACGCCGTGAGCCCCGGGCCGACGGCGACCGAAGGGTTCCTGGCGGCGGGGGAAGAGGCCATGCGGGTGCTGCGGCCGACCATCGACGCGACGCCCGCGGGGAGGCGCATGGCGGACCCGGCCGAGATCGCGTACGCGGTGGCGTTTTTGTGCGAGGAGAGGGCGAGGTGGGTGAATGGGGAGCATCTGTTTGCGTGTGGGGGGTTGTTTGTGGATTGAGAGAGTCGGA